AGCCTCCTCACAGCGAGAGACAGACTGCACCTCACTGCTAGAAGCCTCATTCCCCACAACTCCAGCCACCTCACACTCTCTCCCAGACCCATTGAGGTGGACCTTCAGCCTCCTAATCTCCTCCTGGAGAAGCAAGACCACCTCTTCAACTCTCCAACCTCAATTTTTAAAACACTGCAGAAGCAAGCCATGCTTTGTAACCGTCCACGCTAATCCCCAAAGCAGCTCAGGGTCTGTGACCTCACGTGACGACTGACGGCCTAACATGCTCATTAGAGAAACCAGATAGGCAGAAAGCTGAGACAGGAATTAATGTACACTTATTCTGTATAACACTTGATTTATTCATTTGTGATATGGATATAAATTAGCCTACAAAGTGTGAGGTATTCAGTCAGCCTTAACGTCACTTTCGTGAACATTACATGCTGTGCTGTCCACTTACTGAAGGATATCTAGATAATAAACGTACATGACATGTTAAAGTATCCAGGTTGCTGGCCTGACCGACTGGACTGTTGGTGTCAGTCGCAAACAGCCCAGTACCTTTGTAGAGCTTTTCTACTCCCGCAGCCTGGCCTTGGGCCAGGCTCGTAGGCACCACAGCCCGGCTGATCATGAACCAATTTGGAGGAATTTATCAAGTACCCTCTTAAAGATAGCTAGGGGTCTATTGGCAGTTCCCCTTATGTATGAAGGGTGATGATAAGTGTTGGCCCTTTTACACTTATGAATTATTTCGTAGTTTACTCATGGCACCCTTGCCTAGCGTCGTGTTTTATTAAGAATTAATAATAAAATCGACGCCGCCGTGGTATTTTGTTTTAAGGGTATGGCCGTTTTATGCATAAGAGACGAAATACTGAATGGCGTGCTTTAAAATATTTTTTTCGGCCGTCTTTTTCGGTCGGATGTCTGAAGAAATGGTTGAATAATGTGTGCGTGTGGTTTCATGAAAGGTTGCAGTGTTATGGTAGGGTAGGTAGGCAGACAGGCACTGAGTGAAGTGTAGCTGCGGTAAGTTAAAGGACCGAGTCAGTCTACCAATCCTAGCCTGAATATATTGTCACCACAGCACTGGATATAAAACCACACACTCGGTGTCAGGTTGTTTGTTGACGGATAAATTTCTGTGGAGTGGAAGGAGCCCCAGCCTCGTGCTGCTGCTGTAATTCCATCCTTGTCATGTGATGGTATTCATGGAAAACAATAACGTTTTGAAAGGCATTCTACCACGACTCTGAGACGAGCATACTTTCAAGACCTCGCTGCCGACATAAGGTTATTAAATCTCTGACACTGGTGTGTGGTATGTTGAACTTTACAACGGGGTTAGATAGAGCCGGCCTGCAGGGGTCGGCTAGCAGTGAGGGATAAGTGTGTCTTGTAACAGAGACTGTCACGTTGCATCAAGTGTCTTGAGGGGTCAGAATTTGAGTGGTTGTGACTTCTACTTACTTATCCACAAATAGATAATCACATTAGCTAATATATGTTGTCTTACTTTTATATCCAGATATATCTGAATTTAGACATTTGATATAATCTTTTGAAAATGACTGAATATGATTAACTGAAAGCGTGATATTAAAGACCACTGTTATAGTGGCACGCTCCTCAGAATGTTCGTGTTGTGTAGTGTTAACTGAAGATGACCTCAGTGGCCGCTGGAAATGTTTCAACAAATTTCCACCAAACTGTTGGTTTTATTGTTTGATAAAATTTTCTATAATATTTTAGATCAAAATTGTTGCCAGTATTTGGATTATTGGTAATACTGTCTGAATGCATCCCTGATCAGTCAGACTCTTGGTACCAGCTGCACCCAATCCAATCTATGCACCACAGCCCGGCTGATCAGGAACTGACCTGAGGTACTGATCAAGTTCGCTCTTGGAGGCAGCCAGGGATCTGTTAATAATTCCCCTTCTTTATGAATGGAGGGTGTTCGCCTTGGTCCCTTTACACTTGCCGAGTTAGTTGTAATCCTTTTTGCTGGTCCTTTCTCGTTTGTCTTGCCCTTCCTACGAGTGCCTCCCTCTAGCCATTCCTACGAGTACCTCTTGCCCCTCCGGGTCCCTTCCTCTTGCCTTTCCTACGGGTACCTCCCCATGAAAGCAGCTTACACCCATGCACTGGAGTCACCTTTTGTGCTTAAAAGGTTTCTGCTAAAAAAATTTTATTCGACTAATATTTTTCTTCAGCCTTCATTAGTTTTACTTGTATAGTTAATATGTGTCTTGTCATTGGAAAATGAGACGGTGTTTAGGATTGGCTTTAGATTTTGCCGCCGAAGTGGCTAGTTTATTTTTCATGCCATATCCATCTTAAGGAAGGGCGCGCAAGAGCATATATGAATACATAAAATATCTATCAACGAGTTAACAGGTGTTGCAAGCAAAGTTACGATATTTGCATTAATATGTCTGGTATCTTATTTTCATTAATCAGATAGGTTTTTAGTCTCTGTATCCTTCAATAATTGAACAGTCAAACATATAGTACTCAGGAGAGTATGCCAAGCTTTCATTGAGGTTGCTGTATTTGTCAGGGAAAATCACTTGACGCTGGTCTTATTCATATCATGACCCGCTCTTCATTGAGGTAATTGACTTTCCTTGTCCGGAGAACGTGCACCCAGTCTCCCGTGCTTTCATTGAGGTAATAAACCAAGGAGGGGGATTATGTTTTACGAACCTTCTCACATTGTTGATAAACTTTAACACAGCAGGTTATATTGCTTCTTGAGCACCCCTAAGTGAGGGGAAGGGTATGAGGCACGTTCCTCATGAGGGGCAAGGGAGAAGGGGAGCGAGGTATGTAGGCGTCGTGTGTCTAAAGCTCAAGTGGGCAGCATTGCCTAAGTGGTCTTTTGATACGGCATCGAGCTAATTATAGCTCTTGCTCAGCATAGTGGACCTTGGAGGTACGGCACACGGTGAGGTAGAGGGAGGAGTGCCTCAGGAGACACTTGGCTCCATTGTTGCCAACACTATTATGTAAAGTCCTGCATACAATCCAGATGTCACTCGCCAAGGCATCGAATTTACGTTAAACAGTAGTTATGGTTGAGAACCAGATCAGTCAAGCAGACCAAAGTGGGGCTCAGAGCATGTCTGTTAAGGCAGTTACCAAGTTTCCTTTTGAAGCCAGAGGGCTGTTGCTAATTCCCCAGTATAGGTAATCCGCTTAATGTTGCAGCTCAGAGGGATAATACCTGTTTTATCCTGGGCATACCACCCAGCTTGTTGCAGTTGCATGAAGTTTTTTGAAATTTAATTGTTGAAAAGCACCTGTGTTTTTGTTACATATCTCAAACTTTCAATATTCTTTATTTTGTGTATGCGCAATATAATCATAGTGAAATATGGCAATATTTCAAGCGCTTTCGTGATTTCTCACATTATCATGAGAAATCACAAAAGCGCTTGAAATATTACTGTTTCACTATGATTATATTGTATATTAAGATCTCGCCTGTTTCCTGTTATCTCTTGTTTTGTGTATGTATATTTGACTCAAGAAATCGTAATGACATGATTGCAAACAACCATCGGTCTGGAGTTTTACAACTTACCGCGAGTTTGTCCCCGCCTGTACCATGGTTTGATACATACATACGTATTATATATATATATATATATATAATATATATATATATATTATATATATATATATATATATATATATATATATATATATATATATATATATATATATCACACACACACACACACGTAATATATGTCATGCCGAATAGGTAGAACTTGCTATTTTGGCCTAAATAGCAATGTTTATCTTGCCGAATAAGGCAAGCGAAAATTTGTGTATGCAATAGTTTAGCAAAAATCATTCTGAACCTAACGAAAAAATATATTTCATTGTGTTTGTTTATTATTAAGTTATTGTAAATTTATCTAAAATATATTTGATTGGATTAGGCTAAATTAAATTGCGCTTGTTATAATAAGGTTAGGTAAGTTTTCTAAGGTTCCTTTGGTACAAAATTATTAATTTTTACGTTAAAATAAATGAAAAAATATAGCTTTAAATGTATAAGAGAAAATTTTAGAAAGGACTTAATTTTAATTGAGTTCTTGCTAATTGATCAATTTTAACACACACACACACACACACACACACACACACACACACACACACACACACACACATATACTGCCTCTCCTCACTTAGCGACGTATTGGTTTACTAACGTCTCAAACTTATGATGGGCTCTATGACCATACACATACCTAAATAATGTATATTAGATCTGATTTCCTCTATTCTGTTTATTACATTATACAGTATACTACTGTATAAACATTTAAAAATGTACCAGAAATATTATAAATGGTACAAAGGTGACATTAAAGCAATATCAAGGATGGTTGACACAAGCCCACTACATTATAGTATGCTTCTCATTTAGCGATGAATTTGTTTACCGATGTGGTCTTAGGAACGGAACTCCATCGTTAAGTGAGGAGAGACTTTACATTATTATGCAAACAATCACAGACAGGCAATCTTAACAATGCAAGACAAGCCATGGGTGTGGGGGGAAGAATCTTTAGCTCTAGGTGCTTTCACACCTCTCACTGCATCAGGAGCCATGCAGTGTTGCAAAGGTAGCAACAGGAAAAATGAGGGGAAGTTTTCTCAGAGTATGGTAGCTTGAGTGATACCCGCTCATGCTTTTCTGAGAGAGGAATAGACTTGAGGAACTTAACCAGGTTCTGTCTTGAAGACAGCTAGAGGGTTTGTTGGTATTTTCCATTTTTGTCCATATACCATTATTGAGTTATCTGTTAGTGTACTCATTGTACCCCTACTTTTAATTGGGGTGTTTTGCATCATGTACTGGGCCTCTTGCTTTAGTAGAGTGATTGTGGTGCGCTATCAAAATTTTTCAGAAGTTTTCAGTAATTTAGTTTATTAAGTCATATAAATTTCTTCACATTAAATTATTGCAATACTACTAATATGTTTGCTTGCAGGATTCAGAGGTGTTAAGAGCTTGGTTAACAGATCTTCGCTTTGAGGAATACTATGAAAAATTCTTGTTGGCTGGATATGATATGCCAACAATTTCACGAATGACTCCAGAAGATTTGAATGCCATTGGCATTACAAAGCCTGCTCATCGAAAGAAACTTAAAGCTGAAATAACTAGGCTCAATATCTCTGATGGTCTACCCGAGTTCATACCGGTAAGGTGTATGTAGTTATGCTACATTATCAGTTAGTCATACCTGTTGTAAGTAACCCTGTTGCATTTTATGGGTTAATAATAATTCAATCGATAGTATTAAGTATGTGGGTTTGTAACAATTAAAATTTAACTAAAACAGGTTTGCAGTTATTTAATGAACTGGATAATAGGTTTACAATTAGATCTTTGTATATAAATAATGTCAAAATTAAATAGTATAATATAAACTAACTATGTAGAAGATATATGATAGCAATTTTAAACCAAAGTAGCTTAAAGAATTTAGAGATGGGTAGGAAGACATTATTTTTTTCACATCAGTAGGCATCTTTAATTACTGTACTTTTCTGTTTCCTAATTCTTATTCATGTAATGTTTTGTTTTGGATGTATAACACGAGACCATTCCTTGGCCGAGATGATCCGCAGATCCAGTAACTCTTGTTAACATATACTTCCATTCATTATACACTTACCTTTGCAATTGTGTGATTTTTAATAGCTCTATCTTGTAATGCTTCAATAAAAATTCTTTTCAGGAAAGGGATTAGAATAGTTTGTCACCATGCATGTCGTAGGTGGCCGAAATGCCAGGACCAAGAGTCTGGTTGCTTATTTTTTTGTGCATGTAATTACAAACAAAACAGGAAATTTTGAAGCCAGTTAATTTGAATATAATATGAATGCAAGTAGGTTAGATGCTCTACTTCTAGAGTGAAATACTGTACAGCAAAAACGAAAGGGGTAAGAAAGTTCAAGGAATTAAATCATATATCTATATATTTCAACCGCCCAGGGAGGTACTACCGTTCTGCCAAGTGAGTGTAAAACGAAAGCCTGTAATTGTTTTACATGATGGTAGGATTGCTGGTGTCTTTTTTTTCTGTCTCATGAACATGCAAGATTTCAGGTATGTCTTGCTACTTCTACTTACATTTAGGTCAAACTACACATACATGTACAAGCATATATATACACACCCCTCTGGGTTTTCTGCTATTTTCTTTCTAGTTCTTGTTCTTGTTTATTTCCTCTTATCTCCATGGGGAAGTGGAACAGAATTCTTCCTCCGTAAGCTATGCGTGTTGTAAGAGGCGACTAAAATGCCGGGAGCAAGGGGCTAGTAACCCCTTCTCCTGTATATATTACTAAATTTGAAAAGAGAAACTTTTGTTTTTCTTTTTGGGCCACCTTGCCTCGGTGGGATACGGCTGGTTTGTTGAAAGGAAGAAGATCTATATATTTATATATATCTATGCATTTATGGATTTAGAAAAGGCATATGATAGAGTGGATAGAGGAGCAATGTGGCAGATGTTGCAAGTATATGGAATAGGTGGTAAGTTATTAAATGCTGTAAAGAGTTCTTATGAGGATAGCGAGGCTCAGGTTAGGGTGTGTAGAAGAGAGGGAGACTACTTCCCGGTAAAAGTAGGTCTTAGACAGGGATGTGTAATGTCACCATGGTTGTTTAATATATTTATACATGGGGTTGTAAAGGAAGTAAATGCTAGGGTGTTCGGGAGAGGGGTGGGATTAAATTTTGGGGAATCAAATTCAAAATGGGAATTGACACAGTTACTTTTTGCTGATGATACTGTGCTTATGGGAGATTCTAAAGAAAAATTGCAAAAGTTAGTGGATGAGTTTGGGAATGTGTGTAAAGGTAGAAAGTTGAAAGTGAACATAGAAAAGAGTAAGGTGATGAGGGTATCAAATGATTTAGATAAAGAAAAATTGGATATCAAATTGGGGAGGAGGAGTATGGAAGAAGTGAATGTTTTCAGATACTTGGGAGTTGACGTGTCGGCGGATGGATTTATGAAGAATGAGGTTAATCATAAAATTGATGAGGGAAAAAAAGGTGAGTGGTGCATTGAGGTATATGTGGAGTCAAAAAATGTTATCTATGGAGGCAAAGAAGGGAATGTATGAAAGTATAGTAGTACCAACACTCTTATATGGGTGTGAAGCTTGGGTGGTAAATGCAGCAGCGAGGAGACGGTTGGAGGCAGTGGAGATGTCCTGTTTAAGGGCAATGTGTGGTGTAAATATTATGCAGAAAATTCGGAGTGTGGAAATTAGGAAAAGGTGTGGAGTTAATAAAAGTATTAGTCAGAGGGCAGAAGAGGGGTTGTTGAGGTGGTTTGGTCATTTAGAGAGAATGGATCAAAGTAGAATGACATGGAAAGCATATAAATCTATAAGGGAAGGAAGGCGGGGTAGGGGTTGTCCTCGAAAGGGTTGGAGAGAGGGGGTAAAGGAGGTTTTGTGGACAAGGGGCTTGGACTTCCAGCAAGCGTGCGTGAGCATGTTAGATAGGAGTGAATGGAGACGAATGGTACTTGGGACCTGACGATCTGTTGGAGTGTGAGCAGGGTAATATTTAGTGAAGGGATTCAGGGAAACCGGTTATTTTCATATAGTCGGACTTGAGTCCTGGAAATGGGAAGTAAAATGCCTGCACTTTAAAGGAGGGGTTTGGGATATTGGCAGTTTGGAGGGATATGTTGTGTATCTTTGTGTATGCTTCTAAACTGTGTATTCTGAGCACCTCTGCAAAAACAGTGATAATGTGCGAGTGTGGTGAAAGTGTTGAATGATGATGAAAGTATTTTCTTTTTGGGGATTTTCTTTCTTTTTGTTTGGGTCACCCTGCCTCGGTGGGAAACGGCCGACTTGTTGAAAAAAAAAAAATCTCTATATATCTAGGTAGTAGTTTGGTAGACAGCAACCGCCCAGGGAGGTACTACCGTCCTGCCAATAGACAGCAACCGCCCAGGGAGGTACTACCGTCCTGCCAAGTGAGTGTAAAACGGAAACCTGTAATTGTTTTACATGATGGTGTCTTTTTTTTTCTGTCTCATACACATGCAATATTTCAGGTACATCTTGCTACTTCTACTTACACTTAGGTCACACTACACATACATGTACAAGCATGTATATACACACACTCCTCTGGGTTTTATTCTATTTTCTTTCTAGTTCTTGTTCTTGTTTATTTCCTCTTATCTCCATGGGGAAGTGGAACAGAATTCTTCCTCCGTAAGCTATGCGTGTTGTAAGAGGCGACTAAAATGCCAGGAGCAAGGGGCTAGTAACCCCTTCTCCTGTATATATTACTAAATTTAAAACGAGAAACTTCTGTTTTTCTTTTTGGGCCACCCCACCTCAGTGGGATACAGCTGGTGCGTTGAAAGAAAGAAAGATCTATATATATCTAGGTAATAGGTTGGTAGACAGCAACTTCCCAGGAAGGTACTACCGTCCTGCCAAGTGAGCGTAAAACGGAAGCCTGTAATTGTTTTACACGATGGTAGGATTGCTGGTGTCCATTTTTCTGTCTCATACACATGCAATATTTCAGGTACATCTTGCTACTTCTACTTACACTTAGGTCACACTACACATACATGTACAAGCATATATATACACACCCCTCTGGGTTTTCTTCTATTTTCTTTCTAGTTCTTGTTCTTATTTATTTCCTCTTATTTCCATGGGGAAGTGGAACAGAATTCTTCCTCCGTGAGCCATGCGTGTTGTAAGAGGCGACTAAAATGCCGGGGACAAGGGGTTAGTAACCCCTTCTCTTGTATAAATTACTAAATTTAAAAAGAGAAACTTTTGTTTTTCTTTTTGGGCCACCCTGCCTTGGTGGGATATGGCCGGTTTGTTGAAAGATCTATATATATATATATATACAGTGGACCCTCAACCAACGATATTAATCCGTTCCTGAGAGCTCATCGTTAGTCAAAATTATCGTTAGTCAAGTTAATTTTCCCCATAAGAAATAATGGAAATCAAATTAATCCGTGCAAGACACCCAAAAGTATTGAAAAATTTTTTTTTACCACATGAAATATTAATTTTAATACACACAAACTGAAGATTACATGCACAGTTACATGACACTTACCTTTATTGAAGATCTGGTGATGATTGATGGGATGGGAGGAGGGGAGAGCATTGATCTTCTTAGTGTTTAGAAGAGGAGTGGTAGTAGGAGGCAAAAACTTCACCTTAATGAAGCTCATGTCCCTAGAAAGTCTCTCTGCCAAGTCTGAAGGATGACCAGGAGCATTGTCTAATACCAGGAGGCACTTAAGGTCTAATTTCTTTTCAAATAGGTAATTTTTCACATTGGGGGCAAATGCATGGTGTAACAAGTCATAGAAAAAGTCCCTAGTGACCCATGCCTTACTGTTTGCCCTCCACAGCACACACAAATTAGCCTTGACGACATTGTTTTTCCTGAACAGTCTGGGAGTTTCAGAGTGATACACCAATAAAGGCTTCACTTTGCAATCACCACTAGCATTGGCACACATCAACAGAGTAAGCCTGTCTTTCATAGGCTTATGTCCTGGGAGTGCCTTTTCCTCCTGAGTAATGTACGTCCTGCTTGGCATTTTCTTCCAAAACAGTCCTGTTTCATCACAATTAAACACTTGTTCAGGTTTCAGTCCTTCACTGTCTATGTACTCCTTGAAGTCCTGCACATATTTTTCAGCCGCTTTGTGGTCCGAACTGGCAGCCTCACCATGCCTTATCACACTATGAATGCCACTATGCTTCTTAAATCTCTCAAACCAGCCTTTGCTGGCCTTAAATTCACTCACATCACTAGTTGCTGGCATTTTTTTTAATTAAATCGTCATGCAACTTTCTAGCCTTTTCACAAATGATCGCTTGAGAGATGCTGTCTCCTGCTAAGTAAGTAAGTAAGTTTATTCAGGTATACACAAATACAGTTACATAGAATTATCATACATAGCAGCATATGTGCAGAAAACCTAGGATAACCCAAAAAAGTCACACAGAGTGACTTGTCTGTTTCTCGTTTATCCACACCAATAACAGTCTCTCAACATCTTCTATCACTTGCGATCTCAGTTTCGAAAACATAGTTGCACCTTTGGCAAGAACAGCTTCCTTGATTGCCATTTTCTTGGCCACAATAGTAGCGATGGTTGATTGGGGTTTTGTGTACAGCCTGGCCAGCTCGGAGACACGCACTCCACTTTCATACTTAGCAATGATCTCTTTCATCATATCCATAGTAATTCTCACCCTTTTTGCTGTAGGGTTGGCACTAGAAGCTTTCTTGGGGCCCATGGTGACTTATTTTGCAGGTGCAATCACTAAAAAGGCTGTGATAATATGAAATGTTCCGATTGTATGCTTGGAAGCGACCGCGGTGGCTGGCTGGCTTGTAAACACTGGCCAGAAGTGGACGCGTCTCAGACGGAACGAATAGTGTTGGTCGAGTTTTTTAGCGCTAATCGAGGCAAATTTTTTGCGATAAAATGTATCGCTAGTCAGATTTATCGTTAATCGATGCCATCGCTGGTCGAGGGTCCACTGTATATATATAAAAGCAAAATGAATGAATAATTTAAAAAACAGAGTATTAATTCAAGAGTGTTTTTGGGTGTAAGTACTCTTTGTTTCTTGTGATCATAGCATTTTCAAGCCACAAATTTAATTTTATACCAAAGTTCGTATTTTGTGGGGAAAAAATAAGCATGTGTCCACTTTTCACATGAAATCTGGCTTGATTGCTCAGTGGAACATGTCACCACCTTGCCTATGGCATTGCTATTATTTTATGGGGAAGCCTGGCTTCACTCCTTGGTATAAAAAGCGCTCCAATCTCAGTTGTCTTTTGGAAGCATCCCAATCTATACACTCTTGTGTATCACTCCATTTTTGGTCTTCATTTTCATCTCTGGATATTAACCATAGTACCCAAAAGGTATACAGTTGAAAATGCCCATTTTGAAAAAAAAAAAAAAATGGCCAACACAAATATCATTACAGTTGGTGCACAGGTCATGTGCCTTTGGGTGTTTAACCCTTTGAGGGTTTTGGACGTACTAGTACGGCTTACGACCCAGGGTTTTTGACGTACTAGTTTGCCTAAATTCTAGCGCCCTCAAATCTAGTGGGAGAAAGCTGGTAGGCCTTCATATGAAAGAATGGGTCTATGTGGTCAGTGTGCACAGTCTAAAAAAAATCCTGCAGCACACAGTGCATAATGAGAAGAAAAAAACTTTGACCGTTTTTTTGGAATAAAACAGCGACTTTGCACTGTATTTTCGTATGGTATTTATTGTTGTATTCTAGTTTTCTTGGTCTCACTTTATAGAATGGAAGACATATTACAGAAATTGAGATGATTTTGACTGGTTTTACAATGAAAGATACCTTGAAATTGAGCTCAAAGTAGCAGAAATGTTCGATTTTTACCAAATTTCAAAAGTAAACAAATCGTGCCAATGGTCCAATACACGTCAACTGGTGAGTCTAATATTCTTTCACAAGTGCGCCAATAATATTTATAACATTTTTTACACTAATGCAGTAGTCTGCATAACAGTAAATCTTATATTTTTTGTGAGAATAAAAATTCAAAGTGGAAAGCAAAAGAATATAAGAGGGGCATTGAGACGTGACTTAATGACCAGAGGAAATGTCATTTTAGTGCCAGGAATGTCTTTCTTGTTTATTCTAGACCCTATTCGGAAATTGGCATCTTTTGAAATTTGTATGAAATTGGCAAAATTGCTAAATTCTGACCACTGTACTGGATAGTTGAATTTCATAAATGGGTGGTTTCTTGCACCCATTCGATAGAAAAAATGGAGTTCTAGCGAAATATTCATGTTTTTTGTCGACTAGTACAGTGGAATTGGCCGAAAATGGGGCTCAAAGTGGGCAAAATCGCCGATGCGTAAATATCCCCAAGACCGCTAACTTCGCGAGAGCATAATTCCGTAAGTTTTCCATCAAATTTCAAATTTTTGGTGTCCTTATGATCGGGAAAAGATTCTCTATCTTTTCATAAGAGAAAATTATTTTTTTTTTTTTAAATTTGGCCGACCCTGAGAACGAGTTTCGGAGAGGGCCTGTCGACCCTCAAAGGGTTAAGAACTAACAATTCACTGAATTACAGACTAAGATGACTAAACCAGATTGTGACCTGTTGAAAAGAATGTCAAAGAAATCAGTGCAGCTAAATAAAGCAGGAAAGTTACTGAATGTGTGGATTGAGCATAAAACAAAGGTTCAGCACTTGCTGGCCTTGTAAGTAAGTGCTATTGTACGATAAAATAGTGTGTAATCAGGATGAAAAGTGCAAAAGTGTTCATTTAGTTCTGTTTTAAAGTGTGCTGTTGGCTGCATAATACAGTGTCAAGTTTAGTGGGCAAACGATTTGCAACTTAACCCTTTCAGGGTTTCGGACATACTAGTACGGCTTATGCACCAGGGTTTTTTATGTACTAGTACGCCTAAATTCTAGCGCCCTCAAATCTAGTGAGTGAAAGCTGGTAGGCCTACATATGAAAGAATGGGTCTATGTGGTCAGTGTGCACAGTATAAAAAAATCCTGCAGCACACAGTGTGTAATGAGTAAAAAAAAACTTTGACTGTGTTTTTGGATTAAAACAGCGACTTTGCACTGTATGTTCGTATGGTATTTATTGTTGTATTCTAGTTTTCCTGGTCTCATTTTATAGAATGGAAGACATATTACAGAAATTGAGATGATATTGACTGGTTTTACAATGAAAAGTACCTTGAAATTGAGCTCAAAGTAGCAGAAATGTTCGATTTTTACCAAAGTTCAAAAGTAAACAAATGCTAAGCGTCCAATACACGTCAACTGGCGAGTCTAATATTCTTTCACAAGTGTGCTGATATTATTTATACCATTTCTACACTAATGCAGTAGTCTGCATAACAGTAAATCTTCTATTTTTTGTGAGAATAAAAATTCAAAGTGGAAAGCAAAAGAATGTAAGAGGGGCATGGGGGTATGACTAATGAACAGAGGAAATGTTATTTTAGTGCCAGGAATGTCCTTGTTTATTCTGGACCCTATTTGGAAATTGGCATCTTTTGAAATTTGTGTGAAATAGGCAAAATTGTTAAATTCTGACCACTGTATTGGATAGTTGAAATCAGTAAATGGGTGGTTTCTTGTACTCATTTGCTAGAAAAAATGGAGTTCTAGCGAAATAGTTATGATTTTTGTTGACTAGTACACTGGAATTGGCCGAAAATAGGGCTCAAAATGGGCAAAATCGCCGATGCGTAAACATCGTCCAGACCGCTAACGTCGCGAGAGCATAATTCCTTAAGTTTTCTATCAAATTTCATACTTTTGGTGTTATTATGATCGGGAAAAGATTCTCTATCTTTTCATAAGAAAAAATAATTTTTTTTTTTTTTTGAAATTTGGGTGACCCTGAGAACAAGTCTGGGAGAGGGCCTGGGGACCCTGAAAGGGTTAAGAGTCATAGCTATCTACCTTGATCCATGGGTTGAGCACAGTTTCTGAATATAATAATGACAGCAACCTCCACACTTAAAGATCAACATTCTCTACTGACCAGAATGTAAGATAAAAAATAGTTTTACACAATTTTTTTACTGCATATACTATTTTTTTTTCTATATCACATTTCTAGATCAACAAATGACAATAACAGTGTAAGGTATCAAAGCTGTTTTTGAAAAAAAAAAAAAAGTAAAAAATACAACACATCTCTGACCCATAGGTGTTTTAGTTCACATATTTGAAATAAAGCACTGATGTTCAGGAACATAACTCCTGCAATATGTGGGAGTCTACTGTCGAGTACATGAACATTACAGTTCAAATAGCCCATCCAACTGCAATATCCTCATCCATCTTTCAGAATGAAGGGCAGGTGACAAACCTCAGACTTCATAATTCAAATCCAGCTGTAAATAAATATCCTAATGAAATCTTTAAAATTTAACTATTCTAAAAGAATTACTGTATTATCAACGATGTAAATAGTATTTTAACAAATGTTATACCTTCAGGGTCGTTTGGAGGACTGGTTATCAATGTTGCGCCTTGAGGAATATACGGCTTCATTGAAGCAGCAGAAGTACATCTCTGTGGAACAGATGACTCAGCTCACCTGGGAAGATCTGGAAGATATTGGGATTACTAAATTGGGGCACCAGAAAAAGGTAAGCAATGTTCACACACTACACTTATTGACAGGGGAATAACTCAGTCCATTGAAGGTTTCTGTTTGCCATTCAGCAAGTTTTTTAAGCATCTATTTTTTCTTGAAATAACATAAAACAGGATAATCTGCATTTTGTTACAGTAGAAATTAAAAACAGATTACAACACACAAGATTAAGCAGTGTGTGGTGTAATTTGTCCAAAAAATATAGTAGTACATTTAATAAATTAATTTTGCAGCATACTTTTCTTGTGGGCAGTAGTCAAAAGAGATACTGGGACCAGGAATTAGTCTGTTTTTTTTTTTTAATTAATCTGTTTACTTTGGTAATTTTTTTACCTCGATGGTTATCACCTGCCAAGACAGTGGCCCAAGGAAGAAAACACTTGCCATCATTCATTCAATTGCTATCTTGCTAGAGATGTCCTGACATAATTTAGATTACCCTCTGATTTTAACATCCACACCGCTCCTTCAGAGTGCAGGCACTGCCCTTCCCACATCCATGACATAAGAGTCCAGCTAATTATTATTATACAGTGGAACCTCTTCTTATGAGTTTAATCCATTCCACGACCTTGCTTGTATCCCAATTTGCTCGTATGCTGAGTCAATTTTCCTCATTTAAATTAATTGAAATGCAATTAATCCGTTCCAGCTCTCAAGAGGCATGACAAAACACACCAATATTTCGCTAATATCAACTCTACGGCTTATTTGTCTATCAAAATTCATCTAATATGACATAAACAATATAAATAACATAGAAACCTGATATATACATGTACTCTAGAATGAATAAGATATGTCATTATGCGACAGGTGGAGGTGGCCACAACCGCTCCCGCATTGTTGCGGTATTCACTGCCATCTAGTGATGGCCTTTTGAAGCCATCTGTTATTATTTATTAGTACGTATGTATTCTTATAATTATTGTATTACAGTAGGGCCTCACTTATATGGCATGTTAGGTTCCAGGCTACTGCCAGAAAGCAGACATTGCCAGAAAGCAGAACGCCATTTTTTCCACTTATAAATGTCAGATAATAAAGTTTACACTAACATATATTAGTTAGCAATAAAACAAGGCATTAAAAACAATAAAAAGTTAAATACACACACAGTACACTCATTATTTACCTCAAAATATTTGTAGTCTTAATGTAGGGTGAGAAGTGAGTAGTGTTTATTGTAAGAAGTTTGGTGTGGTAGGTATGGCAGCCAGACAACCCAACCTCACCCACAAGTAATATACTTTGACATTTAAAAGAGCCCTAGAGTGATAAAGTGCATTTAGTGTACACTCATTACTTACCTTAAAATATTTTTAGTCTTAATGGTCTTAATATGTGGTGCAAGGTGAATAGTAGGGTAGGTAGGTATCGAAGTGTGGTAGGTATCATAACCCCATCTGGCCACCCACACGTTATATACTAGGCATTTAAAGTGCCCTAGAGCGATAAAATGCATATACAGTACACTCATTGCTTACCTTAAAATACTTAGTCTTAATATAGGGTGCGAGGTGAGTAAATGAGATAAAACGAATAAACGAGAGAGGTAGAGGTAGAGAAGTAGAGAGAGAGAGAGAGAGAGGGATAGAGAGGTAGGTAGGTAGGTTTGCGAGTTTTGTAAACGAACCAGCCAGACGCGTATGATTTTAGTTATAATAATAATGTAGGTATGTAGTCCTCCTGGGCTACGTACCTACACTTACCTACATAGCATATTTATATTCTATGTAGGTATGTAACATGTTTCATATATAATTTTGAAGAAAATATCACAGATGGATTAATGAAAATGTCTATATTAATGTTTTATACAATATTTAATGCACCTCAGAGTGATTGTTATTGTGTTATTATTATTAATATGACATCTTCAAGACTAATAAGACACTCTTAGTGATTTTAATGTGTAGCTGCATACCAGCACAGTGTGTAAGTTTACTTACGTACAGGTACACATAAGTATAATTATCAGTTATAATAATAATGTAGGTACACCTACCATCTGACTTACGACCACTCGTCTTACGACCGTGTTTTTTATGCCAAATTTCTGGGAAATAAACAACTATTTGTGTTTTTACACAGTGTTTATCCTAAACCTTACAGTATAAAATACAGTACTAACAACATAAAAAGTAAAGTAAAACATGAAATACCAAAATAAAACAATAAAATAAAGTCATTACAAAAATGTTTTGTTGATATTCAGTAGTAAAGTTCGACTTACGACCGGTTTCTCGGAACCGAACTCGGTCGTAAGTCGGATGGGTTACATACCTACACCTACCTACATATCATGTTTATATGTTGTGTGTTATATGTGTTTCTTATATAATTTTGAAGAAAATATCTATATTAGCATAAAATAAGACATCTAATGTGCCCAAGAGTGATTATTAATGTGCCCAGGAGTGATTATTATTACATAATAGAGAGATTTACTCATGGAGAATGTAAACAAACCGGGTGGCGAGCGCCATATTTGACAGACCACTTGCTGTATAGAAAGTTTTGGTCATAATTTGAAATCGCCATATTAGCGGAACACTAAGGCGAAATGCTGTAAAGCGGGGCCCTACTGTATATTATTATATAATTATTACTATTATATGTATTATTATTATTATTATGTACATATTCTTATAATAATACTCTTGCTTACCATTTGGAATTTTTATTCACAAAAAAATAAAATAGAAGATTTACTGTTTAGCAGACTACTGCATTATTGTAATAATTGTATAAATAATGTCAACCTATTCATGACTGCATATTGGAAGGGCCAGTCAGACAGGTATTGGATGGTGATGTCATTTGTTTACTCTTGAACATTGCCAAAGAATAGAACATTTTTGCTACTTTGATCTCATTTTCAAGGTACTTTTTGTGGTGAAACCAGTCAAAATCATATCTATTTCTGTAATATATCTTCCATTCTATCAAATTAGACCAAAAAAATGAGAATATGACCATAACCATAAAAACCATATGAAAATATACCACTAATGGGCAGCTAATGGCCGAGAAGTGAACTCAGTTATTTATGGTCAGATTTCTTTTGGTGTACGATAAGAAGCATCTTTCCATCATACATTGCCCAAGTTACAATAAGATAGTCTAACAGACAACTGAGATCCAATTCCCTAGATCTAGTGCAAGAGCTTGCATCTTGAAATTGCGCTTGCATCTGGAAGCAAAAGATCGACCAAGCAACTGCTCGTATCTTGAAAACTGGCACATTGGAGCACTCGTAAACCAAGATTCCACTGTATTTACATTCATGGGAGGAAGTGCTAAACTAGTAGGGGGTCATACCGCCCCTCGGGAAATGGGAGGCAATCGAGTTTGAGCCAAGGAAAGGGAGGCTGTTACAGTGGTAATGATTTATTTAAAATAAGCAAAGTTGGGATACTTGGGTAGGATTTTTGGTTATACAATACTGTAATTTGTCATTGTCTTAAAATGTTTAGCAATAATTCTTTTACAAATGTTAAAGAATTGTCTAAACTCTTCTTGGATTGAAAGAGTCTTACTTCTGTAATTATTTCAGGTGATGTTGGCTATCAAACGTGTAAAGGACATAATGGCTGGAAAGAAGTTTGCCAATAATCAAGACCCACGACAGCAGTCTCATTATGGAGCTCATGAAATTATGATTTCTCGAGAAGCCTCAGAGGGACGAGACCAGTATGCCAGTGTGCCAGAATTTCGTACGTTTTCTGGTCCTGGACACTATGGGACGGGTGAGCATAACCGGCTGAGTGGTCCTACAGAGTCTGGAGTTCATTATGCTGTACAAACTCATTATGCTCCAGGTGTTCAATATGGTCCTATGCCCCCTCCTCCACAAGCTCACGTACATCCTATGTCTCAACAGCCTGGGCCATTTCATCCATCTAATCAATTCAGTACTCCGCAAGGGCCATCGCCTCCAGGATCAAAACTTTCAAATATTCCACCTCATCCTCTCCCTGGGCCTGGTCAGGTTCAGTATCGGCCAGATTTGGTTCCAGTCCAAGTCCGGCCAGGTGGTAGAGGAAGGAGTATTGAGAGCTTAGAGGAGCCTATTTATGGCACATATCAGACGTTCCACCCAGATAGTAGACTACAGTTTGTTCAGGGACCTATGTCACTTGGAAGTCTACCACCAAGACCTTTCCCTCCAACAACTATGGGATCATCAAATCCTCAGCGGTCAATGGATGATGGTGACATTACCCCTACAAATGAATATGCAAATAATTATGAGGGTGGAGGAACATTACCCAGACCTCGCACTGCCAACAAACTCCGACCAGTTGCCAAAGTAACAGCAAAAACTCGAGTAGATGTCCATGAGGTGCCACAGTTTATTAAAGATGGAATGAACCTGAAGAAGCCATCTCAAAAAGAAGAAATAAACATGAAGGAATTAAATTTAAAAACGTTAAATCGTCAAAATTCTGAGAAGATATATAATTCCAGCCAAAATACTGGAAGTACTAATAACACACCACAGGGAACACCCAAGAAAATTCCACCTCCTCCCCCACGCCGCTCAAATTCCATTAGCGAGACATCCAAAGAAGCAGCTTCACAAGAAAGTCAGTATGGGTATTTGCGAAGGGGATTGTCATATGGATACATGGGAATCAAAAATAATCTACAACCTGATGTTACTCCAGATCTGCCACCACCACCAGCACCACCTGATAGTGCCAATCACCAACACCTACCTGATGACTTCCCACCACCACCACCTCCGTTAACGTGCGTTACAATGGCTAGTTCTACACGCATTACAGCCAGCTCAACAATAACAACTTCATCTATTACTAGTGACTCCTTAGCCACATCACAAACTTCAACAACTTCATCTGAAGATGATGTTTCAACAGGGTTTCGACCCAGGCGAAATGATTCCAATGCTAGTTTTAAGGTAAATTTACATAGTGTTTTATTTGGATATTCAAGACAGTATCAATTGATTTATTAGCATAAAACATTATGTAATTATTTTTTCTGTAATATTTTATTCATCTACAATTGGAGATGCATCCACCTAAGTCATATGAGCTCTTATAGTTACAAACATTTCTTAATCTGTCACTTGGAGTATGTCAGATACATCAAATTTTACCCCTGAAAATACTGGAGGGACTATTCTGAATCTGCACACTGAAGTCTTAACAAGAATGAGGGCTATGGTAGACAGTACAGATTACCCTGCAATAGAATACTTTAAATAATTTCATGATATACATAGAGGTCAAAGGAGGCAAAAGCTTATTAAACATAGTTGTAGATAGAATCCACAAAACATTTTTAAACTTTTTCTATATTATTATAATCAAAAAGAAGCGCTGAACCTACAAGGGTCATACAGTGCCGACTTTTACTATATGCACGAGATCCCTCTAGCTGAAGAAAATACTCAAGCTTAGAGTGGTTGCTATAGAAAACTTAGTGCAACAGCATTTTCAAAATTAATATTTTTTTTTTTGTCCTACAGTCTACCTCGAGTACAGATTCTGAATCCTTGCCTTTCGCTAATGAAAATGCTGGGACTATTAAGCAACGAGCCTGCCGTCCTCATCCAGGATTGACCATACTGGATACTCGAAACTCTCCACTTTCTTCCCCGCGTTCCTCTCCAGCATTGCGTCGGAAGGAGGGTCAGCCTCCTCTGCGGCAGAATCCTATTGCCAACACAGAATCCTCTACTGGACAAATGGCAAAATCAAACTCAAGGTATTATGATAGCTAGTGCTAGTCTAGTACATTTAATATTGGTTATTTTACCTTACCTCTAGTATTTACTCTTTTTAACATATTAGGAAAAAGATTTTATCCAAGAGATCTTGTAAAATATATCTAGCATCATAAAAAATAATTGAAATTGGGTATTTCAACTAGTCCAACACACATCTCAGATAAACCAGAGTCAAGAGGCATTGTGAATTTTTCCATGTGACCTAACCAAGAGAAAATTTAAGACATTACAGTACAAATCAAGTAAATTGTATTCACAAAAGCCTGTTATCTATTTGTATATATACAGCACATAATGATAAGTGGTAAGATGTTGCTATTAAAACAATTCCTTCCAAAATACCACACAATGAAATTTTGTATAGATATGCAGGTCATCAGACATCCACCAACACTCAGTTTATCACACTCTAGTAATGGCAGGTTTTACCAAGCCAAAGCATATACACAAAACTTATGGCTACATGCATTACCATGATTATACTCCACAAAGTGCTGTATGACCCTTTTGGGTTTAGTGCTTAGTTATGATATTACAAAGGTGAAGGTGCCCTAAACAAAAAACATAATACATCTAAAGGTAAATAAATTCTTTAGGTTGATTTCCAGGTTTGCTATGGAGAGAGAGATTTCTGATCCAGACTTAAGATTCCCACACCTGCTCCATACATTGATGACTACTATCTCTTAATTATGTGAACACCTGCTAGTTTATTCAAGTTAAGCTACTTCACCCAGACTCCAGCCCAGTGCTTGATTAGTGGCCCTTTTCCAACATGTATATTACCTTTAGATTTGCATCTCTGCAGCTTTCTGCCACAAAGGCAGGGTGAGCCAAAGAAGAAAGCACATTTGCCAACATCCATTCAATAAGTCTTGCCAGAAGTGTGCTGACATCACAATTCAGATTACCTTCAAACTGCAACATGCCTGCCTCTCCTTCAGAGTGCCAGCAGTGTGTGTTCCACCATCAGGACTAATGTCTAGCTAATAAATTTTTCCAGAATCCCTTCATAGAAGATACTTTGCACTCCAACAGCAAGTCCATTTAAAACCACATGTGTCTATTCACTATCTAATACACTCACACAAGCCTGCTGGATGTTGTATCTCCTTAAACTTAGTCTCTTTTACCCCCTACCTTCTCCCTCCCAAATTTATACTCTCTCTGTCATCCTATCACTGACCAGCCCCCTCTGCATGCTCAAACCACCTCAGTAACCCTTTCTCAGCCCTCTGAATTATATTCTTGGTGAACCCAGATCACCTTTTAATTTCTGTGCTCCGAATTCTTTGTGATATTCACACCACACATTGTTCTCAAACATAACATCTCGCTGCAGCATTCAAAACATATGATCCACACCAATATGTGTTGGTACCACTATACTCTGGTACATTCACTTTCTGCCTCCATAGATAAATTTCTTTAACTTGGATGCCTCTACACGAGTCACCTTTCACCCCCATATATTTTGTGGTTCATTTAATATTTCATAGACTCGTCTGCTGATTCATCCACTTCCTTCATACTACCCCTACTCTGATATTCAATTTATAATTGCCTAGACTTTGTTAGCCCTCATTTTCCTCTTACACACACACACACACACACACACACACACACACACACACACACACACACACACACACACACACACACACACACACACACACACACACACACATTACATTGTGGTATGTATTGTATGCAGTTTTAAATACAATGGCTTCTTTTAATGTGTATATTCCTCCACAGTTCTCCGGATGGCACAGGTGATGTCCTGAATGATATTGGCAATATGCTAGCAAACTTGACAGATGAACTAGATGCAATGCTGGAACAGGAAGTTAGTCTAAAAAATTAAGCATCCAGAATCTTCAGTTAAAGAAAAAACCTAAAAACCACTGTACTGTATATTCATATTAACAGTTTTGGTGCTTGTGGTACAACCTTTCAAGTCATTCAGAATAGTGTTGAATTAAGGAAATGTCATTATTTTTAAATAATAGTAAACTACTAAAATGCAAACAACAGAAAGACTTTAATCTCAAAGTTATAAAGTAAATTCTTAGTACAATTAGAAGTTCAAGTATATCTTTCAAGGCTTTAATGGTGACATAGCTAATAAAGTCGATTCCAAGCCTGGTTCAGCATACCTCAACACCATGTCTGAATTTGATATTACTCTGTCAGTCTTGTTATAAAATTGGTAACATTTTTAAAGGGTCCCAACGTAAGAACAAATAGAATTTTAACCTGCTCTTTGGATAATATTTTAGCTAATTATTAAGACTGATAGAGTCTTGTTAATGTAGAAAATGTGCTGAATAGTTATTTGTATTTGTGTGACTACTTGGCTCATAGCCTATAAACATGTCATCTTGTAGACTGAAAAGGTACTTACATCAATGTTTATTAATCCATTTGCAATGTTTTGCAAGCATTTGTAATGTGATCTCAAAAGCATTAGTGTTGTCTTACTGTACACATGCTATTCAGTAATTGCATAACTGACAACTATTGAGGCTACATGAAACCATAAGATGAATACTGTATATGTGTAACTGAAAAGGGGTTTGTGCTCTACCAAATGGGATTAGAAGATAGAGTAGGCGTTAAAGTGCATGTCAGCCATAAACCAGACAATCATGAAACCAACCACACTTAGGCTTTTAACAGCTTTACCACTTGCTTTAGGATGCTTATTAAAATTAAAATTGTTACTGCATTGAAAAGAAAATTGTATTAACAAATATAAACAATGAACAACATTTATTCCTGCCTATGTACTTATAAGTTTTTGACTATGTAGAAGAATTTGTAGCAAGTATAATTCTACACAAAGGCAACTCCTCATAGCTGTCAATCTTGTTCCAGAGCCTTAGGCTGAAAAATGGGGTTAGGTTTTCATAATGCTCTAATATTCCCCATAATTTGAGGACTGTGATTGGTACCTTTAAATGAGCTTCCAGTCTTGAGCTCTCATTTATTTTTGTTTTATGTTATAGTCGAGTAGGTATCAGTAGTGAGGGTAGAACCAGAATAGTTGTACTATGTCAAGTCTCGTCCATCAATCCTGGAAGACATTTGTTACCCAAGAAGGGAGTGGTACAAATTTTGCATATTTTTTTAGCAAGTCTACCCACATGTATGTGATAATTTGAGCTCCTGTAATGTTCCTCTCCAGAGCTCACAAATGCTGATTTTATTTTATTAGATAGCAAGTGTTGTGTGGTATCATGTAATTCCTCCTCGCTACTCATCTTAATCTATATAAAGCACAATTTATGTTTTCATATATAAATAAATATATACTAGTCACTTATACAGGCACAAACACTGCATTAAGTGATATTATATAATTAATTGGGGGTAGGAAATATTTTTTTTAATTTTTGTGTAAATACAATGTGTACAGAACTTGTAAATATCCGGGGTGAGCCTCGCCGACCATTGTTTACAGAATACTATACATACCCATGTCATTTATAATTGAATATAAGAAGCATAAGATGGCAGAGCTTATTTAAAAGATATTAAATCTTAAACTACAGAACTTATGTTTATGGCAAGGCTATGTATAGTTTTCTTTATCATAGTCTCATTGAGCTTTTGAAATATTAAAGCTTACATTGAGGGGGGAAATAATCTTTTATGTTCTCACTATAGTTCAAGTGAGGCAGGTGCTGGTGGCATTTGCAGTGATAGTATAAAATAGTTTTGTTCAGCCCCTCTTCCATGAGTAGCATCTGTTATTTATCTGAAATATCATATGACTGCTAGCCAGTTTCCAACTATCTCCCTCAGTCTTACTCCTTCCCATTTGGGAATCATTGCTGAATGCTCACTTTTTACCTGTGTGATGGATTTTGAGTTATCACTGTGTCCATTAAATTCTGAGTTAGTGCAGAAATTAAAATATTGAGAACAAGCAAAATATTTGACTTTTATTTAACTATTTTATAAGTAGATGGCTTTTATCTTGTGTTCAGACATCTGAGACAGAATTTCCAGATTGATGTGCTTCTTAAGCATTGTCATACAAATAGAACTGCCATAAGATAGCCCTTTTCCAAAACATCTTGTGTATTGACACATTTCTGTGAATTAAGATATATTCAATTACAGTAAACCCTCAATATATTTGACTGATGGGGGATTCATGTTAAAACAAATAGGAAAAAGCAGTGAAGTACTATTCTGGTGTACATCTAATATAGTACTGTACATATAATATGAAATATGAAAACTCAATGTGTTAAAAGTAGTTTACCCAGTGGATTTTGCCTGTTATTTCAGAGTCCTCTATATAGAGGTATATTACAGCAAGGGTTTACTATCTGCAAAAACTAGCTTTACTAATATAATTTAGTTTAATAATATGCAACCTATCTTATTTAACATTACTGAAATTATCATTTTATGTTCAGATTAATTTTGCAGAGTTATTACAATTATTAATTTACAATAGTTTACACTGCTTATTTGGCAGAGCAACTGTTGCTTTACAAGCCAAGATAACGAACACAAATTGGTGAACGTGTGTTTTTCCACATCTGCTCATACATAAACAGGCTTGCATATGTACACACGCAGTACATGTATATATGTTTAAAGATCCTAATAACAGCGAGTATGCGCGTGTCGAGAGATTAAATTATAGTACAATATACTTAGTATACTTTAACCCACACTGGCCACCTTTCACAAAAAAAAAAAAAAAAAAATAAATAAATGTGAACACATTCACCATCAGTCATTCAATATATGTCTTCCCAGAAGTTTACAGACATTACAATTTAAATAAGCCTCTGAACTGCAACACCTACATCTCCAAAGTGCAGGCACTGTAGTTCCCACCTCCACTAACCCCTGCTCACACTCAAACAGCATGTCAATTCACAGTAACCCTTTCACCTTCTAAATTAGACATCTCCAATAACTCTAGCTTCCTCCTTACTGCAACATTTAAACTGAATGCCTGATACCAATGTAAAAATGTTGGTACCACTATACCCTCATACATTCCCCTTTTTTGCCTACACAGATAAACTTGTTTTTCTGCAGATACTTCAACAGGCCATCTACTTCTCCCCCATCTATTCTTTGGTTTGCCTTGTCTTTCATAGGCCTTTCTGCCAACATATCCATAACCATTTGCTTTTTACCTTAATGGCTGTCTCTGGCCAAGACAGGGTAACTCAAAGACACATTCATCATATATAGTGTTGCTACTATACCCTATATTACCCTTACCTCCACAAGCCTTTTTTTCCAAAGATCCCTGAACATGCCACCTAACCTTTTTCATAAAACTCTACTGCTTTTAGTAACATACCATGTATTAACACCTGCCATTTGCTTCCTAGCCACCCTATTATATCACTTTAAAAATTCATAAATGCAATGAACTGCTCCTTACCCTTATCTACATATTCATATATTTCAGTGTGAACATGAACTACACACTCTCTATCCTTCCTAAATGCTCCCTAATCTGTAATTCAACTTTGTATTAACTCCTTCGATAATAATTCTACCTCTTTACCTGTTATACTTAACTGGCTTATTTCCCCTTAATTCTTACTATCTCCTTTTTCCTTATACAACAAAACTATGCATGCTCTCTACCAGTCCTTTGGTACCTTTCCTGAACAAACATACCAATCACTCCAACTCTACTATATAACCTCACCTGTTTTTAACTTCATCTTGATTCCATCTATCTCGTCCAATTCACACATTCCCACACGTCCACCTCTGGTTCCTCCTCGCTCCTGAGATCTTATTTTACCTTACCCAATGCATGATATCACTACCTACCTTTCATCGAGATTAAACAATTCATCAAAATATTTTCTCCATCTTCTAATTACCTCTACCCCCCCAATCTAACTTCTCCCCTTTTCTGTTTTTACCTGTTAACTGTCGAGTCAGTCATTCAATAACTTTCAGTAGTGCAAAGACATCATAATTTAAATGATTCTCAAAACTGCAACTTCCCCACCCCTGAGTACAGGCACTGTACTGTCCATACATACAATACACAGTAACCCTCTTATAAAGTGACACTACATAATGTGATTTGTGTAAATGCAGCTGAAAAAGTCCAAAACTGTACAGCACACAAAGAAGCCTTGTTGGATTCTTCAAGTTACCATGCAAAATTTAGGCATTTATAACACACACCTTGAAATTTTTTCCCTCTGACCCAAGTTAGACCTAAGGGTTAAGTATTTGGAGAAGTACAGCTCCTCCCCATTGCCACTGCCAACCATGCCTCCTACAGTTGCACGGAGTCAACTGCAGAAGAAATGCTGCAGGACATCAATTCCCAGTTGGGAGACAGATGAAAGAGAATGAGATAGAACCTCTAGATCTACATGAAAGAGAATGAGGTAGAAGAACCTCTAGATAAATAGTTAACACTGCAACAGCTACATCAGCAATTCCATGTTAGTGGCAAAGTTTTAGAACTGTCCACTAAATAGAACCCATGACACCTCTGAAAGCACTGCTCTGAAGTGAGGTCTGGAACAAATGATAATACCTTATCATCAGCTCCATAGAGCAGGGTAAAACAGACCAGAAAAATTACAGACTACTTGAGGAGTCCAGTGCAATCAACGATAGATAAGTTTCTACTTCAGCATTAATACAAAAACTACAGCCATTCACCTCAATCCCTAGGGCTACATCATCCCTCTTCACACACTTTTATGTTAACAAGCAACAACAATTAGAATGTTGCTAAGATGAAGGTAGTAATTTGTACCTAGAAGAATATTTGGGGGAAAAAAAAAAGGCTTGGCAAATTTTGAGATCTTTTTAAGAAAGTAACCCTATTTTTCTATGTACTTCACATACCACTAATTTTCTTAAGGTGTTGACTTTTTGGGACATATCCCCCTGTGTTTTGAGAGTTTACTATATATAATATACAGGTATATGCATACACATACAGTATTATACTTTTAGGTAGAGCTTATGATTGTGGCTTATAATGCAATAATCGTTTTGCAAAAACAAGTAGAAATTCATTGGAATCTTTTCAGTTTGGCATACCCCAGATTTTGAAACTAAAAATTTTTATGCTATTTTTATATTCTAACAAAACAAAATATTCTCCAAGAGAAATATGGGCAACATATGAAAAATTGCATTTATATGCACATTAGTTTGCAAGGTTCATGACCATACACCTCCCATTATCTACTGTACTGAATACCTATAACCTCACAGAGAGCACCTGGTACATATTAAACAAAAAAGTAAATGACAAAGTAAATACGACTTAATTAGGCAAATGAAGATTTAGTAAAATATTATGCGATATTATAAATTTTAATAAAAATTTTATTTTCGTAAAACCCACTACAGTGGAACCTTGGTGTCTGAGCTTAACTGGTTTCTAGGTGATGTTCAATCTGCGAAAAGTTTGATACCCAAAACGCCATTTCCCAGGCTTTAATTATCAGCCTCAAAAAGTAGAGGATGTCGAACTGACTCTTCCAAACGTCTCTGAGAGTTAGGTCAGTGTTAGAGGTCACTTCAAAGCACTTTTGAAACAGGGATTTTACTTTAAAGTTTTTCACAACTGAATTTTAAAGAAGCCGGCATGCTCGGACTCCAGAAAAATGTTCAAAGACCAGGTCAATTTTTTCTGAACAATATTGTTTGGACTCCAGTTCATCTGAGGTCTAGTACATTCGAACACCGAAGTTCCACTGTATATAATTTACCATACAAACTGGTATATACCTTTGAAGAGTTTCGAGAGTTTATCTACTCTGAGCCTGGCCGTGGGCCAGGCTCGTCTGGTGCTTGCCTGGTCAACCAGGCTGTTGCTGCTGGAGGCCCATTGCCCCAAATATCCATCACAGCCTGGTGTACATACAAATGCAACATTATTGTAGGTTGTCATACTAATCCATAAAAAGTGATGTCATTTTTAATAGACTATGTATAAAAATGCATTTGCAAACAAATTTTCAGTACAGTACAAAAATCCATGGTATGCCAAACTGAAAATCCTTAAACTGATTTAATACCTTTATGACAATTAGTCTGAGGTAAAGAGAAAATACAATTATGTTAATAGTTCTTAACCCTTCAACTGTCCAAATGTGGATCTACGTTCACGTGCGTAGCGCTTCAAATGTAGATCTGAGTTTTATTTTACATACTTTCAACCTTGGCATAATAGGCTTGAGTTGCCTAGACATGAGAGAATGTGTCTGTGCACTTAGTGTGTGCAGTATGAAAAAATTTGGGGATGCCGGGAAAAATGCACTCTTCATTTTAAACAAAAATAAACAATTTTTTTTTCCCAAAAATATTCAGAGCGCTACGCAAGTGAACGTAGATCTACGTTTGGACAGTTTAAGGGTTAATAGTAAATTTAGGCATACTTAACACACATTGGGGAGGATTAAGCTAAATTGTATTGTGCTTTAATTTCCGGAAGGTTAGATAAGGTTGCTGAATTTTAGTGTGCAATTTATAATTGATATACGCAAATTCACAAAAAATGTAACCGTAAATATACGAGAAATTTCAAAATTTTACATTTTTAGGGTAGTTCTAATTGTTTGACATGCTCTGCCTTAAAAAGCTATATATACATATATCCATGTAGTATATGCATGCATGCATGCATACATACAACACAAAAACATGCACATACACTTAAAAACATACACACAAACACACACATAATTCTTAACAATTTACAAACAGGCAAAATTATTTATGAACATTATCTCTCAGTCCATAGCAGGATTTGAATCTGCACACACACTGCATCTAAGTACACAGTACTTTAGACATGTGGCCAAATTGCCGAGTGCTTTGATGCATTGTGTGCGGGTTCACGTCCTGCAGTGGACCGAGAGATATATATAAAGATCTATTTCTTAACTAAATCAGTTGCAAAATTGTAAAACACTTCAGCTAAATGAATAGCCAAGTGACCTGATATGAACCACAGAAATCCTAGATTGATACGGTGGTTAGCATTGATTTACACAAATTTTTAATTATTTTATCTCAAGCAATATATATCATAAGGACTTATTTTTATTTAATATACAGTATGTGATAATTTCTAGTTTAAATCCATAACGTACAGAGTGTTATAAAGCCAATGCAGAAATGTTTGCTATGTGACACTGTATATGTGGAGTGTTAATGTATTTAAATAGTTTTGTACAGGTGTTAAGGGGCAATAGAGAGGGAGTTTACTATACCAGTCATTAGTGACAGTAAAGAGGCACACCTCTCAAGAATATGATGGCCACTCGCAGTGCCTCTACATCTTTAGTCTTTTATTTTCCCCTATTTCTGTATGTACATGATATATCTTAATGAATATAAAAAATATAACCATTAGTGTTTTCATAAACATGTTTCATTTAAGCCTCTGAAGCGTACTTATTGGGGAATAAATGAATGACTATGTATGTATGTATGTAAGTGTGTGTGTGTGTGTGTGTGTGTGTGCGCGCGCGCACGCTCGTGTGTGCACGTGCGTGCGCATGCGTGCGCCTAGTTGTGGTTGCAGGGGTTGAGTCACAGCTCCTGGCCCTGCCTCTTCACTGGCCGTTACTGGGTCACTCTTCCCGCTATATGAGCTTTATCATACCTCTTCTTAAAGTTACGAATGGATCCTGCCTTCACTACATTGCTTCCCAAACTATTCCACTTCCTGACAACTCTGTGACCGAAGAAATACTTCCTAATATCCCTGTGATTCATCTGAGTCTTCAACTTCCAACTGTGGTCCCTTGTTGCTGTGTCCCATCTCTGGAACATTCTGTCTGTCCACCTTGTCAATTTCTCTCAGCATTTTATGTGTTGTTATCATGTTCCCCCAATCTCTCCTGTCCTCCATGTTGTCAGGTGGATTTCCCTTAACCTTTCCTCGTAGGACATACCCCTTAACTCTAGGACTAGTCTTGTTGCAAACCTTTGCACCTTCTCTAGTTTCTTTACATGCTTGGCTAGGTGTGGGTTCCAAACTGGTGTTGCATACTCCAATATGGGCCTAACGTACACAGTGTACAGGGTCCTGAACGATTCCTTATTAAGATACCGGAATGATGTTCTTAAGTTTGCTAGGTGCCCGTATGCTGCAGCAGTTATTTGGTTGATGTGCCCCTCGGAAGATGTGCCTGATATTATGCTCACCCCAAGACCTTTTTCCTTGAGTGAAGTTTGACTACTCTATCTGCAGTCTTCTTTAACCTTCCCACAATCTTCATGACTTTGCACTTTTTGGGGTTGAACTCCAGGAGCCAGTTGCTGGACCAGGCCTGCAGCCTGTCCAGATCTCTTCCCTGTTATCCCTGCCTGGTCCTCCAGCTTTTGCACTAATCTCTTGTGTGGAACTGTGTCAAACGCCTTCTTACAGTCCAAGAAAATGCAGTCTACCCACCCCTCTCTCTCTTGTCTTACTGCTGTCACCCTGTCATAGAACTCCAGTAGGTTGGCTGTCATTGATAAGCTCATTCATTTCTAGGTGTTCCACCACTCTTCTCCTGATAATCTTCTCCATGACTATGCATACTATACATGTCAGTGACATTGGTCTGTAGTTTAATGCTCCATGTCTGTCTCCTTTTTTAAAAATTGGGACTATATTTGCTGTCTTCCATGCCTCAGGTAGTCGCCCTGTTTCAATGGATGTGTTGAATATTGTTGTTAGGGGTACACATAGCGCCTCTGCTCCCTCTCTTAGGACCCATGGATCGATGTTGTCTGGCCTCATCACCTTTGAGGTATCTAGCTCACTCAGCAACCTCTTCACTTCTTCCTCGGTTGTATGTATTGTGTCCAACACTTGATGGTGTACCCCACCTCTCCGTCTTTCTGGAGTCCCTTCTGTCTCCTCTGTGAACACTTCTTTGAATCTCTGAGTTCCTCACTTACTTCACGGTTGCTTCTTGTGATCTCTCCTCCTTCCTTCCTTCCTTAGCCTGATTACCTGGTCCTTGACTGTTGTTTTCCTCCTGATATGGCTGTACAACAGCTTTGGGTCAGATTTGGCTTTTGCTGCTATGTCATTTTCATATTGTCATTGGGCCTCCCTTCTTACCTGTGCATATTCATTTCTGGCTCTACGACTTCTATCCCTGTTCTCTCTCTCTCTGTATGTGTGTGTTTGTTTTTATATATACTATGTATATATAGTGAGGAAATGCTTTATGTTACGTGGCCCTGGCAGTCACAGAATGGACACCACTGGTGCCATATTTAACAACCTTATACTTTAAATTGTTTAGAAAACCAACATTATACATATGCTTGAACTAACATACTCTGCACTCGAGAAAAATTAATTTTCCCTGGGACTTTTCATAGACTTACGAAGAGCTTTTGATACAGCTGACAATGATCTTTTGCACCAAAATCTTGAACATTACAGGGTCAGAGGACACTCTCTTGATTACCTAAAATCTTATCTCAACAACAGAACCCAGTATGTATACACAAATGGAGCCAGTTCCACTACACAACCTGTTCTTGTTGGAGTCCCACAGGAAGCATTCTTGGCCCACTTCTCTTCCTCATTTACATCATTGACCTACCAAATGCATCTAATCTCCTTAAACCCATTTTATTTGCAGATGACACAACTTATGTCTTTTCTCACCCAAACCCAACCATACTAACACACAGTAAATACTGAACTACTAAAAATATCTACTTGGATGATTACCGACAAACTTACTCTCAATACAGTGGAACCTCAAAAATCAAACTTAATCCGTTCCAGGAGCTAGTTCTAATTTCGAAAAGTCTGAAATTCGAATCAATATTTCCCATAAGAAATAATGGAAATACAGTACAATTAATCCGTTCCAGAAACCCAAAAATATTCACACAAAAAATACATTTTATAGAGATTAACCCTTAAACGGTCCAAACAGATCGACGTTCAAATTCGCAGTGCTACAAAAGTAGATCTACTTTTTTTTACATATTTTCAAATATAACAAAAAAAAAAATGTAGATAAAAGTTTTTTACACATTTTCAAATGTAAAACAAAAAGGAAGATCTACATTTTTTTACATACTTTCAGATGTTGAAAAAACGTATATATACGTTTGGACCATTTAAGCGTTAATTACAGTTTTACATACATATAAAATAACATACATATAAAATAATACATACATATAATACTGTATAAAATATAAAATAACATTTTTACTTACCTTTATTGAAGATTGGTGATGGCATCTGGAAGATAGGGAGGAGGAGAGAGGGAGTTGGGGTTAGTGTTTGGAAGGAGAATCCCCCTCCATGAGGACTTCAGGTAAAGCCCTCTCTGGGGTTACTTCCCTTCTCTGTCTTTTAATGCCACTAGGACCAGCTTGAGAGTCACTGGACCCCTGTCTCACAAAATAACTGTCCACAGTCCTCTGTTTCTGGCACCTCTTTAACATTTCCCTAAAATGGGACATGGTTCTGTCACTGAACTTGTTGCAAAGATGGCTTGTTTCAGCTTGCTCAGGGTGGTACTTCTGCACAAACATTGGACATCATTCCACTTGGCACAAATCTCCTTAATCTTTGAAGAAGGCACCTCATCCACTCCCTCTTCCTCCTCTGAAGCAAGTTCCTCAGCTGTGGTCTGATACTGCTCCAGATGAAGCTCTTGCAGTTCTTCAGTGGTTAGCTCTTCCCTGTGGTCCTCCACCAACTCTTCCACATCCTCACCACTCATCTCCAACCCCAGGGTGTTCCCCAATGCCACAATAGAGTCCACAACAGGCAGAGGGTGAGCTGGGTCAGGGTCAGGGTCAGCCTCAAACCCTTCAAAATCCCTCTTTTGGACACAATCTGGCCACAACTGTCTCCAAGCAGAGTTCAAAGTCCTGGAAGTCACTCCCTCCCAAGCCTTACCTATAAGGCTTATGGAGTTGTAGATGTTGAAGTGATTCCTCCAGAACTCTCTTAGGGTCAACTTAGTGTCTATGGTCACTTCAAAGCACTTTTCAAACACTACTTTTGTGTAGTTTTTTGAAGTTAGAAATGACCTGCTGGTCATGGGCTGGAGGAGAGGAGTGGTGTTAGGAGGCAAGAACTTCACTTTTATAAAACTGAAGTCCTTAGACAAGAGGTCTAATAAGTTTGGAGGATGAGCAGGAGCATTGTTCATTAACAGGAGGCACTTGAGTGGCAATTTCTTTTCCTGGAGGTATTTTTTCACACTGGGGCCAAACACTTCACTGACCCACTCTTTGAAAATTTGTCTTGTGACCCATGCCTTATGATTAGCTTTCCACAAGACACATAACTTGTTCTTAAAGACAATGTTTTTCTTCAACACTCTGGGATTTTCTGAATGATACACAAGTAAAGGCTTCACTTTAAAATCACCACTAGCATTTGCACAGAACAAAAGAGTAAGCCTGTCTTTCATAGGCTTGTGTCCTGGCAGTGCCTTTTCCTCCTGTGTGATGAAGGTCCTTTTTGGCATTTTCTTCCAAAACAAGCCTGTTTCGTCACAATTAAACACTTGTTCAGGTTTGAATTCTTCACTGTCTATGTACCCCTTAAACTCCTGTACAAACTTTTCAGCCGCCCGTTTGTCTGAACTGGCTACCTCACCATGTCTTACAACATTGTGTATGCCACTACGCTTCTTAAATTTCTCAAACCAGCCTCTGCTGGCCTTAAATTCACTATCAGCACTGGTTCCAGGAGTTTTCTGTACCAGATCGGCATGCAACTTCCTTGCCTTTTCGCAAATAATTGTCTCTGAAACACTATCACCTGCATTCTCTTTATCCTTGATCCACACCAGCAACAACTTCTCAACCTCTTCAACTATTTGTGGTCTTTTTTTGGTTAGCATATTAACACCTTTTGCAACATCAGCTTCCTTGATTTGTTCTTTCTTTGCCAGGATAGAACCGATGGTCGACTTGTTTTTCCCATACATCCTGGCAAGCTCAACAAGTCTCACACCACTCTCATACTTCTGTATTATTTCCTTCTTCACATCTATGGTGTTTCTCACTTTCTTTACCACAGGGGTACCACTAGCAAGTTTCTTTGGGCCCATGGCAGCTTATTTCACAGTCCCACAAGCACTAAACACAATGAAATAGTCGTAAAATGTGTGAATGAGAGCGCAGGTTAGTGTTCACTCAAGCATAAACAAAGCTAGACTGCTCACGGCGCCTGCGCGGGGACGCGGACAGAGCGGGCCAGCGGACAGGTCCCGTACCTGGCGGTCCGAAATTTGAAATGCGTTTGATTTTTGGTACACAGTTTGTCCCAAAAAATGGTCTTATTTTCGAAACGTTCAATATTTGGTACGTTCAATTTTCAAGGTTCCACTGTATATCTATTGCTACGAGTACATGTACAAGGGGATTGACCTCTGGACCTCAGTGTGCGAGCTGAGTGCGCTAGCAATCCAGCTATGGAACACCTAATTATTAACATCATGCTACCCAAAACAAAACCCATACTAGTTGGAGTTGTTTATCATCCTTCCAAAGATAGTTCTTAAGATACACTGCAAGGGTAATATAAAAAATTGGGCTGAACTGTAAGCCACAATTAATTTCAATATCCCCCTTTCAACAATGAAATAAGTTATGTAAAATGATATAAGCAAATTCTGGAATTAAATAATTGTAAGCAGCTAATCCCTGAACCAACCCAGAATATGCAATTTTTCAGCCACCACACTTGTTCACAGATTATTTAAAAAGTATAGAAAACAGTCAGAAATCATTCCTAAAGGGCTTATTGACTATCTTAGCACTTACTGCATCAGAAACACCCCACATGAAGCAACAGCACAACATAAAATACTGAGCAAAGAAACACTAGTACATAAGCAACAAAACTGCAAATAGCTTGTAAAAAAAATTATACTGATGTAAATGATGCCTGGGAAACAATTAGAATTATCTGGTGGATATCTGGTGGCCTGGTGGTTAACACTCTCGCTTCACACGGTGAGGGCCTGGGTTCGATTCCCAGCCAGAGTAGAAACATTGGACGTGTTTCTTTCAACCTGTTGTCTATGTTCCCCATCAGTAAAATGGGTACCTGGGTGTTAGTCGACTGGTGTGGGTCGCATCCTGGGACACTGACCTAAGGAGGCCTGGTCACAGACCGGGCCGCGGGGGCGTTGACCCCCGGAACTCTCTCCAGGTAAACTCCAGGTACCATCCATGATGCTACTACACCAATAACAGAGATTAGGATAAAGCAGAACTGAACCCTAGAATAGACAAGTATTCAGAGATCAACGTTACAGTGGTAGCTTGACTTACGAGTTTAATTCGTTTTGTGACTGAGCTTGTAACTCAGTTTGCTCATATATCAAATCAATTCTCCTCATTGCAGTTACGTAATTGAAATGCCATTAATCCGTTCCAGCCCCCCAAAAAACCACCCCAAGTTTTTTGTTATGGGTTTTTAAATAAGAAAAATGTATTTATAAATAAGAAATATTGTATAAAGACATAATAAAAGAATATGTAAAGAAATAAACTGGTTTTATAAAGTGTATTTACCTTGGAGATCAGACGACTTGGGCTAACGGAAAATGCTGGTGAGCTTCAGATACGCTGCCACTAGTTGGCGCAGTGAATGTCACAACATCCACCCATGGTTACCTTACCGTGGAAGCATCTCTATTGTGTTGTGCTTGCATTTTGTGCAGTTATTTTACCAAATTTCTTTTTTCTAATCACTCCACTACAGATTTATACACTCTCGAAGTCATTCTATTTTGTTCCATCCTGCAAGAGTGCACAAAATAAAACACACTTCCATTTCACACTCATTTAACAAGACCACAGTATACGTCTCTGGATGGCTGCTGTCTGCCAACCTACTACCGGTTCTACTGGAAGTCAGGATAAATGGGCAGGATGTAACAATAAATGTGAGTAATAATCTATGCCATGAAGTACTGAGGTAGCTTTTTCTAAGTTTAATAAGTACACTTTCATTCAGGTGCATTAAAGAGGATCAGATTTTTACAAATGTCTTACATTATGTTTACATTGTTTATATTAACCAAGGATAACCCAATAAAGTCAAACACTGACTTAATTCTGTCGAGATCCTTGTGCTGCATAAATATATCAGTCATAATTATTAATAATAAAAAGCAACATTAAATTAGTATATCAATTACATGACAATCATTCATGTGAATAACAAGATGAATGTACTACATAACTGCTGAGCCATCTTTTAGTCACTAAATTCCTTGGTGCATCTTGAAACCAACTAGAGGAGGGCCCATTTATACAGCAGGTTAGGTTCTGGGCTACAGCTGTAAAACAAAAATCACTGTAAAGTGAATCATAGCCTTTTTTAACTTTCAAATCCATAAAAAAGCCTGATAACATGTTTATACTATCATATACTGTATTAGGTAAGCAATATAGCTAGGCCTAAAAATTGCATATACAGTACACACATTACTTACCTTAAAATATTTTTTATCCTTAACTTATAGTGAATGGTGAATATATTTATTGTAGAAGTCTGAATAAATGAAGAATGGGTATAAATGAAAATCACTGTACTAACAAAATGCTGTAAAGCAAAGTGTTTTAAAGCAGGCACTGCCTGCACAGTACAGCAATAAAGGCATCACCCCAAAATTTTCAGCTATCAAGAATATCTTATGATGCTCCTGATAATATTCTGAGTAAATCTGTAAAGGGTATTGTCTCTGAACTGAAGGTTTTGTCCCAGTAACTCATTTTATATATACCAACTCCAATATTGGGTCGGATAAACTTGTCAGCTGATCAACTGTCAGTAACTATAGGTCAGTTAGTATATTGAGCATTATGACAAAAATCTTAGACAGGACAGTGTACTGCCAAATAGTAAACATCTTATACATAATACAGAACTAATTAGGCTTCAGGGGATCTCATTCATTCTTAATTCATCTTATGGATTATACAATTAATTTATTTTATTTATTTATTTATGTCTTTGCAAATAGTACATTGAGATTTTGTATTTACAATAATGGGTTGCAATGCAAAGAGAGCCTCTATTATGCCTAGGCATTATACGTATCTAAAAGGAAAGAGAAAAATACAAGAGGAAATGCTATGAAACTGCTCTGATCGTGGTATCAAATGCAATCACACACCAATTGGTGAAAATTCTAGCTCCAGGACTTGAGTCCTGGAGATGGGAAGTACAGTGTCTACATTCTGAAGGAGGGGTGTTAATGTTGCAGTTTTGTAACTGTAGTGTAAAGCACCCCTCTGGCAAGACAGTGATGGAGTGAATGATGATGAAAGTTATTCTTTTCTGGGCCACCCTGCCTTGGTGGGAATTGGCCGATGTGTTAATAAATTAATAATAATAAAAATAATGTACAGATATTGAACCAGTTATACTGCTGAGAACTACCAACCATTATGATTACTACTACTACTATCAGCACTACTGTACATGCCATGTCAAGATTTACCTAGCATGAGCCAGTAGGCCTACTGCAATATTCCTATAACATTTGCTCAATTTTTTTGTGCTAACACCTATGTTACCCAATTGTCTATAAATTGTGCTATCACCAGGAATGATCTATCAGACTTGATAAACTGTGCTACACAGGCAAAAACATCATCTTAATCAAGTTTCCAATCACTGCTGATGAGTATAAGCTACAACTTGTTGGTATTTTTATATCATTTTCTTTTGCAATTTGTTAAAATGTAACGAGTTATTCAAGAATGTAATTTAAGTTTGGTTAGGTTAGAGCTTGCCTATACTAACTTTATATATGGCAGAAATCTTCACCAGTAGATAAGAAGACTTCCCCTGACTGATCAACAACTTTGTAATATCTGCAACATCACTGGCAATTCCCTCAGAACCAATGTAAAAATTGATCCTACCTTCAGTCTACCCGGAGAGTGTTCCGAAGGTCAGCATCATTCATCGCCCTCATGATCCAGTCCCAGGCCAGGCCTCCCAGCGCATTGCCTGATTAACCATGCTATTGGTGCGAGTCTGCAAAATACTTGTAGATTAATTAATGAAGCTTATCCTAGTACTAAGACAGTATGAATGGTAATCTTATTTACATACATGTACATTGTAACAAAGTACAAGCAGCTGTCTTATAATTCCAAAAGCTATTATAATTTGAATTACCTACAATATTAATACGTATTTATTAAACAAAAAATTAAATATTTATTATCCCATAAGATACAGAACTAATGAAAAGAACCTAATAACATCAGCGGCTCTTAACACCTGCTGCAGCTGTTCACCTGACAGTAAATAATGTGAATACCTTGCATTATTATTAATGCATTATTACATTCGTATGGGAGGAGTGCTAAACCTGTTGGGGTCATACAGAGCCTTGAGGAATGGGAAGAATTCAGGTTTGAACCAAAGAAGGGAAGCAAATGTGTAATTCATTAAATTATGAGCCCTTCACCCTCACCAAGGAACCTCTTTTGAAGGATGTGTAAGTAAGTTTACTCAGGTATAGGTACACACAAAGTTACATAAATTATCATACATAGTAGCATGTGTAGATTACACTGGTCAACAATTTTTGAAAAGTTGTATGCTTCTTAAATGAGATTAGTTAATTCATATGTATTTTCATGTCTTGAATCCAAATATCACCTTGAAAAATACTTATTGGCTATAGGTTTAAAGATATGAGACATGTAATACGTATTTGATTATTTTATTAAAATGAGATCACCAGTACTCAAAGATGTTGAGAAGTTATTACTAGTGTGGATAAATGAGAAACAATTAGCAGGAGATAGTCTTATGCAGTTGCTCATTTGTGAAAAGGCTAGGCAGTTGCATGACGATCTCGTAAAAAAATTGCCTGCAACAAGTACTGATACTTGTGAATTTAAGGCCAGTAAAGGCTGGTTTGAGAGATTTAAGAACCATAGTGGCATACATAGTGTGATAAGGCATGGCAAGGCTGCCAGTTCGGACAAAATTGCAGCTACAAATTCGTAATTCAAGGAGTACATACAGACTGAACAATTAAAACCTGAACAAGTGTTCAATTGTGACAAAACAGGCCTCTTTTGGAAAAAAATGCCAAAGAGGACCTACATTACTCAGCAGGAAAAGGGACTGCCAGGACACAAGCCTATGAAAAACAGGCTGACACTCATGTTTTGTAGTAATGCTAGTAAGGATTTCAAAGTGAAGCCGTCACTAGTGTACCATTCTGAAAACCCCAGAGCGTTCAAGAAAAACAATGTTATGAAGAGTAAATTGTGTGTGTATTGGAAAGCTAATAATAAGGCATGGGTCATGAGGGAAATTTTCGTCGAGTGGTTCAATGAAATGTTTGGCCCCAGTGTGAAGAATTACCTCCTGGAAAAGAAATTGGATCTCAAATGCCTCCTGCTAATGGACAATGCACCTGCTCATCCTCCAAACTTGGATGACCTAATTCTGGAGGAGTATGGGTTCATCACAGTAAAGTTCTTGCCCTTTGGAGGATGTGGAAGAGTTAGTGGAGGACCACAACGAAGAGCTAACCACTGAGGAGCTGCAAGAGCTTCAGCTGGAACAGCAACAGACTGCAGCTCAGAATATTGCTGCAGAGGAGGAGGAAGAGAGATGGAAGAAGTTGCCTTCTTCAGAAATTAAGGAGATTTTTGAAATGTGGGGTAGGATGGAAAGATTTATGGAGAAACATCACCCTGACAAGGCTGTTGCAAGCCATATTGGCAACTTGTACAGTGACAAAGTCTTGGCCCATTTTAGGGAAGTTTTAAAGAGATGCCAGAAACAGAGCTCTCTGGACACTTTTTTTGTGAGACAGGGCTCCAGTGACTCTCAAGCTGAGGTGTTGATGGAAGGGGATTCCCCTTCCAAACAGTAAATTAATCTAATCTGTCTCCTCCAGTCTTCCATACATTAAGAAGAATCGCCAATAAAGGTAAGTGTTATGCTGTTAATGTTTCATTCATCATGTCCCATTGTATTGTGTATGAACTACATCTATATTTCATGTAAAAAAAAAAAGCAAATTTCCTAAATTTGCTTGTAACAGATAAGTGAACTGTAGATATGTAGATATAAACCCATATGTACACCTGTTAACCCTTTTGGGGCCTAGTTCCTAGGCCTTTTGTGTATCCATATGCTCTTTTGCTACCGTCCACAGGATGGATATGGGGTGCACAATAAACTAGCCACTTCAGTGGCAAAATCTAATCTGGAATGCATTAACTGTATTTACATTACAGTGGACCCTTGCCTAACGAACGCATCGCATAATGTTAAATCCGCGGTTAGCGCTAAAAAACTTGCTCAACGCGATTCGTTCGAGACGTGTCCACGTGCAGCCTGAGCCTGCCTCACTTGTTCCGTGGGTGCCAGTGTTTACAAGCCAGCCACCGCAGTCGCTTCCAAGCATACAATCGGAACATTTCATATTATCACAGCCTTTTTAGTGATTGCACCTGCAAAATAAGTCACCATGGGCCCCAAGAAAGCTTCTAGTGTCAACCCTACAGGAAAAAAGGTGAGAATTACTATGGATATGAAGAGAGAGATCATTGCTAAGTATGAAAGTGGAGTGCGTGTCTCTGAGCTGGCCAGGTTGTACACAAAACCCCAATCAACCATCGCTACTATTGTGGCCAAGAAAACGGCAATCAAGGAAACTGTTCTTGCCAAAGGTGCAACTTTGTTTTCGAAACAGAGATCGCAAGTGATAGAAGATGCTGAGAGTCTGTTATTGGTGTGGATAAACGAAAAACAGATAGCAGGAGATAGCATCTCTCAAGCGATCATATGTGAAAAGGCTAGGAAGTTGCATGAGGATTTAATTAGAAAAATGCCTGCAACTAGTGGTGATGTGAGTGAATTTAAGGCCAGCAAAGGTTGGTTTGAGAGATTTAAGAATCGTAGTGGCATACATAGTGTGATAAGGCATAGTGAGGCTGCCAGTTCGGACCACAAAGTGCCTGAAAAATATGTGCAGGAATTCAATGAGTACATAGACAGTGAAGGACTGAAACCTGAACAAGTGTTTAATTGTGACGAAACAGGCCTGTTTTGGAAGAAAATGCCAAGCAAGACCTACATTACTCAGGAGGAAAAGGCACTCCCAGGACATAAGCCTAAGAAAGACAGGCTTACTCTGTTGATGTGTGCTAATGCTAGTGGTGATTGCAAAGTGAAGCCTTTATTGGTGTATCACTCTGAAACTCCCAGTGTTCAGGAAAAACAATGTCCTCAAGGCTAATTTGTGTGTGCTGTGGAGGGCAAACAGTAAGGCATGGGTCACTAGGGACTTTTTCTATGACTGGTTACACCATGCATTTGCCCCCACTGTGAAAAATTACCTAATTGAAAAGAAATTAGACCTTAAGTGCCTCCTGGTATTAGACAATGCTCCTGGTCATCCTTCAGACGTGGCAGAGCGACTTCCTGCTGAAATGAGCTTCATTAAGGTTAAGTTTTTGCTCCTAATACCACTCCTCTCCTGCAGCCCATGGACCAGCAGGTAATTTCCAGCTTCAAGAAACTGTACACAAAAGCTATGTTTGAAAGGTGCTTTGTAGTGACCTCAGAAACTCAATTGACTCTAAGAGAGTTTTGGAGAGATCATTTTAGCATCCTCAATTGTGTAAACATTATAGGTAAGGCTTGGGAGGAAGTGACTAAGAGGACCTTGAATTCTGCTTGGAAGAAACTGTGGCCAGAATGTGTAGACAAAAGGGATTTTGAAGGGTTTGAAGCTAACCCTGGGAATCCTATGCCAGTTGAGGAATCCATTGTGGCACTGGGGAAGTCTTTTGGGTTGGAGGTTAGTGGGGAGGATGTGGAAGAGTTGGTGGAGGAGGACAATGACGAACTAACCACTGATGAGCTGCTGGATCATCTTCAACAGCAAGAGGCCAGACCTGAGGAAACTGCTCCGGAGGAGGGGATAGAGAAACTGAAGTTGTCTACTTCAAAGATTAAGGAAATGTGTGCAACGTGGCTTAAAGTGCAAACCTTTTTTGATGAAAATCACCCTCACACAGCTATTGCAAGCCGTGTTGACAACTTGTACACTGACAATGTTGTGAAACACTTTAGGAATGTCATAAAGGAACGGGAGGTACAGGCCTCTATGGACAGATATGTTGTGCGACAGAGGTCCACTGACTCTCAAGCTGGTCCTAGTGGCATTAAAAGAAGAAGGGAAGTAACCCCGGAAAAGGACTTGCCACCTCAAGTCCTAATGGAAGGGGATTCCCCTTCTAAACATTAACACCATCCACAGTCTCCCCTCCTCCCATCCCTTGGCCTACTAGATGATCAGCCTGTAACTGATTTCATCAACAATATGAACAACACACTTCTCATACCAACAATAACTAAACCAACCAGGCTCACTGAAACAAGTGCAACCATAATAGCCCACATATGGACCAATATACTAGCCCCCCTTAACCCTTTGACTGTCGCAGCCATATATATACGTCTTACGAGGTACCGTGTTTGACGTATGTATACTCATAAATTCTAGCGGCTTCAAATCAAGCAGGAGAAAGCTGGTAGGCCCACATGTGAGAGAATGGGCCTGTGTGGTCAGTGTGCACCATATAAAAAAAATCCTGGAGCATGCAGTGCATAATGAGAAAAAAAAACTCCGACCGTTTTTTTTAATTAAAATGCCGAATTTGTGGTCTATTTTGGTATAGTATTTATGGTTGTATTCTCATTTTCTTGGTCTTATTTGATAGAATGGAAAACATATTATAGAAATAGAGGTGATTTTGATTGATTTTCCTATAAAAAGAATCTAGAAATGGAGCTCAAAGTAGGGGAAATGTTTGATTTTTGCCAGTGTTCAAAAGTAAACAAATGATGTCATTTTCCAACAAATGTCCAACTAGCCATTCTAATATGCAGTCATGAATGGGTTGATGTTATTTATACAATTATTACAGTATTGCAGTAGTCTGCATAATAGTAAGTCTTCTATTTTTTGTTTGAATAAAAATTCAAAATAGAAA